GACAATATGTCTATGGCGCAATCGTATCAAGGCGCAGACAATATCACAGTTGGCGACGGCACTACGGTACCAATTGCACATACCGGGTCGGGAATCCTACCGACCCCTCATCGTAAGCTGCAACTGAAGCAACTTCTTCATACTCCATCTCTTAAATTCAATCTGTTATCTATTTCGCAATTAACCAAAGATAACAACATTTCTATTAGTTTTGATCCATCTGGTTTTATGATGAAGGACTTGGCGACTCAACAGGTTTTGCTAAGCGGTCCATGTAACGGAGGATTATACAAAATTCCAGTGAATCCTACGCTGCACAATCATCAGGCGCTATCAGCATCCACTTCAGCAAACCATACCTGGCACCATCGGCTAGGCCATCCGCACAAACGAATTTTAGATTTTATTTCACATTGTCATCCTGATTTGCATATGAATAAATGTATCTCTCCATGTTCTTCGTGTATTGTATCAAAATGTCACAAACTTGTGTTTGACAACACCGCAGTTCGTCAAACACAACCGCTGGCCATCATCCATTCGGATGTTTGGGGCCCGGCACTGATTTCTTCTTGTCAAGGTTTTCGTTTTTACGTACTGTTTGTTGACGATTTTTCAAGATATTCGTGGATCTTTCCTCTTCAACATAAATCTGATGTGTTTCAAATCTTTGTTAATTTTCAAACACAAATTGAACGTCTTACTTCACACCGGATTAAGATTATTAGGACTGATGGAGGCTCCGAATATGTTAATACGGTGTTCAAAAACTATCTCACCAAGCAGGGCATTGTGCATCAATTGTCTTGTCCATATACCACGGAACAAAATGGACTGGCGGAAATGAAGCATCGCCACATAATCGAAACAACTCGTACGCTTCTTCATACTGCGTCTCTTCCCCATATTTACTGGCCTGATGCGGTAAACACATCGGTATTTCTTATTAACCGGTTACCTTCTAGCATTCTCCATCACAAAACGCCTCTTGAACTGATGTTCAACAAGCAACCAAATTATGCTGGTTTAAAAGTTTTTGGATGTGAATGTTACCCGTTGTTTCCTTCTCGCATCACAACGAAACTACATCCAAAATCTCATAAAAATGTTTTTCTTGGCTATTGTGATCAATACAAAGGCTACCGTTGTTTAAACATGGTAACAAATAAGATTACGGTATCCAGAAATGTGAGATTTATTGAGCATCATTTTCCGTTTTCTGATATACCGTCATCTACTCCCAACATTGATCACAATATCTGCCCTCTATTATTAACTCCTGCTTCCATTAGTGGTACCTCAAATTCAGGTGGATCAACATCTGTTCATAACGAACAACTTCACACTCAACCTGCTCCCCCCGTGGAATTAGCTGATCCGAACAACTCTGTTGAACAAGCTCCGCAAGTAGACTTCAATGATCCAGCTATATCTCAAAAATCATTCCACCCAATGATTACCAGAAGCAAGACAGGGTCGTTACGGCAGAGAACCCGCTTAAATCTCATGCACCATCATAACGTCAGAGACGTTCAACAGGATCCCACATCGTTTACAGAGGCTTCTAAGCTACTACATTGGCGTCAAGCCATGGCATCAGAAGTCCTAGCTCTTCAAAAACAGGGAACATGGACTTTAGTGGATCCTCCGACCAATGTTCCCATTCTCGGCAGTAAATGGACCTACAAAACTAAGCGTCTTCCAGACGGTTCGGTTGGCAAATACAAAGCAAGACTAGTCGCTCAAGGAAATCATCAGGTGTATGGTCTAGACTACATGGAAACTTTTAGTCCTGTAGTCAAGATGCCCACAATTCGAGTAATGCTTGCCATTGCCCTATACAACAATTGGACGGTTCAACAATTAGATGTTGCAAATGCATTCTTGCATGGCAGTCTAACCGAAACAATATACATCAGGCAACCAAAAGGCTTTGAGGACAGTTTAAGACCAAACCATGTCTGCCGCCTCAACAAAGCCATCTATGGGCTCAAACAGGCGCCTCGCCAATGGTACAACACGTTCACATCTGTACTTGTTTCCCTCGGCTTCCGTCATAGCCAATCGGATCCGTCTCTACTTCTGTACATAAAAAATCAAGTAAAAATTTTCTTACTTATCTATGTAGATGATATATTGGTGGCAGGAAATGATCCTCTACTAATCTCTTCTATTTTAGCTAAACTAAACTCTGAATTCGCTATGAAACACCTCGGGGAAGTACATGATTTCCTGGGCATCCAGATATCCAAATCTAACTCAGCCTATTTTTTGTCACAGGCTCAATATGCGTATAAAATCTTACAGCAAGCGGAGCTCACCTCGTGCAATCCCCTCTCCAACCCGACCTGTACCAAACTTCCCGCCAAACTCAAAACAGAGTCCCTCTCCTCCGATCCAGTGTTCTATCGCAGCATCACAGGAGCTTTACAATATTTAACGTTAACTCGTCCTGACATTTCTTTTAGTGTTAATTTACTTTCTAAAAATATGCATGATCCATCTCCTAAACACTTCTATCTTCTAAAACGTCTACTAAGATATATACAAGGTACGCTACATTTTGGTCTTCCCATTACAAAAACTGATTTAGTTCTCAAATCATTTTCAGATGCTGATTGGGCAGGAGATCCGGTCACAAGAAAGTCCACCTCAGGTTTTTGCTCCTTCTTAGGATCAACTCTGGTGTCGTGGACAGTCAAAAAACAGCGCACAGTGTCAAGATCGTCAACGGAATCTGAATTCCGTGCGCTTGCTGCTCTAGCTTCGGACATCATATGGCTAAGAAGACTATTATCAGATTTCGGGCTCTCCCAGGCCTACTCTACGCATTTATATTGCGACAACATGTCGGCCATTGCATTGGTCAATAACCCGGTGTTTCACTCCAGAACCAAACACATAGAAATTGATCAAAAATTTCTACGAGATCATATTCAACAAAATAACATTACCTTGCATCCTATCAGTACAATTGATCAGGTAGCAGATATACTTACCAAGCCGTTATCAACTCCAAGGTTTCACCAACTTCGTTCCAAATTGACAATCATTCAAGATCCATCAATTTGACGGGGCATATTAGGACTAAGATAACTGCTTATTATTTCTAGAAGTCTCATAGGTTATTTTGTAATTAGTATTCATATACATTCAGCTCTATATAAAGGGCATTAGACATGTACAGCATAGACAGAAATAATATTTTCATTTCCTCTTCTCTCTGCCATATCTTGAGTTTCTTTACTCTCCTCTCCTCTCACCCTTCTCTTCACCTTCTCCTTTCTTTCCTTCCTCGACAAGCAACGAAGAAAGGGGAAGAATGGCTTAGAAATAAATGGATTGAGATATTTTGATATTTAATATCCATCATTCTGAACTAGCGCCACGACGCTCAACTTTTCAGTGTCGATTTGCTCATAGAGAATCTTGAAAATTTCTCCATAATATTCTCACTTGAAATCCAACATTGTAGTGAAGCCGCCCTGGCACCTCAGCACGCATTCAAATCCATTTTTTTCCCTACAAAAACACGAGAGCTCAATGGTGAGAACTGTCAACCGATGTTGTAGCCGTCACAGGACAATTTTTTTTAAATGGAATTTGAGATATTATATGGTCAGATAATTATAGTTGAGTAAATGTGGTCAACATATTGTAGTTAAGCACTGGTGGTCGGAGAACCGTAAATGGGTGATAGTTATTGGAGGATAATATTTGGGCAATGATAATCAAAGGATCATAGTTGAACATCAATGATCAGATGATTGTACTTGGGCGATAGTAATAAGAAGATAAGAGGATCGACAATAATTTGACAAAGGTGATTGGAGCATTAATTTGACAAAGGTGATTGGAGCATTGTAGTTTGATAATGGTGGTTGAAAGATCATAATTAGTCAATAATGGCCCAATGATTATAGTTGGGGTAACAATAATTGAGGGATCTTAATTGAGTGATGTTGGTCAGAAGATAATAGTCATACAAGGGTGTTTAGAGGATCATGGACAAGCAACAATGGTTGAACTGTTAGATTATCATAGTTGGAAGACGGTGGTCAGAGAACCATAGTCAGGCAATGATGATTGATTAACAATAGTTAAGTGACAGTATGCAGAGGACCTTAATCAAACGATAATGATCAGAGGATTATAGTTAGATGACGATAAAAGTACTATAGTTAGGCAATGACATGCCTTTGACCTCAACTGAAACACATCTAAAATTATTTCAATATCATCTAAGCCAACATTAGTGCTTGCATCATCAATATTGACACTAAGCATGGCATTGACATATTTTCCTTTTCTCTCTCTCTCATTTGTTGGGATGTTCCATCTCTCCTAAGAAGCTCGCTAGCCCTCATCATTCTCATAACTCGCTAGGCCTCATCATTCTCATAACTTTTCTTCCTATGAAGACTTGTGTGTCATATGATGTCATCCTTATAATGAACTAATTTTCATCATTCACACTCACATAAGCACTCTTTTTAACTAAAAAAATATAAAATTTAGAGGACGTTTTACCTCTTTATTAGCTTTGAAAATTTTTCAATCATACTTCTGAGTTTTGATTTAAGCCCGTTAAAACTCAAATTTAAATTCTTAAAAACATCCTATTTAATTCATGATCTAAATTATAATTGTTGAAAATAAAGCTAATCACATTTGAATTATTTCCTAAAACTTCTAACTCAGAAACCTAAAAATTTAATATTTGTTTTCCCCTTCCTAGGACCGACCTAATCAACTTTTCCCATTCCTTCTTTTTATATTCTTCAACAGTAAATTATCAACGACGCTGCAGCTCCTTATTATACCGGAAATCTCGCCAAAGCTCACAAAGTTTCTTCATTCCACCGAATCCAGATGGACTCTTCATTCGTTAGGGCTTTGCCTTAATCTCCTTCATAATTTTTTTTTTCGTGTTGACTTGTCTATACCAACCTTTCTCTCTCTCTCTCTCCGTCTCTATCTGAGGACTTCCTCCTGTCCCTCTCTCCTCTGAATTTTCTCTTCATGGTCGGCAACTATGTTACCTCATCTGACCCCTTCAATCTCTTCGCCTTCTCTACATTTCTCTCCTTTATTGTTCATCGTTCCATCTTCTCTTCAATTAGTCGTAATCGATTAGTTCTGGGTTCTGTGTCGCGTCAATATGCCCATCACTTGATCGACGCTATTTTCCACAGGATTTCGCATTCTCAAGTTTCCTGCAACTTTTATCGGATATTCTTCTCTTTTTTTATATAGTAATGATAAAACATCTTTGACGTTTCTTGAATTCCCATTCTATTTCAAAGGCCGTAAATTTCAACTTCCTCTGTTCCTCTTTCTGCCTTTTTCTCCAATGGGATGCACGAGCTCGAGGGAAGTACGACGAGACCGCTTCCGGGGCCCGTCTCCGTTCGTCAGGAGCTTCTCCATGCCGGCTACACGCAGATCCCAGCCCAAAAGCGCAAGCTTTCATTTCGCAGCCCTCGAGTCCTCCGACGAGGAGATGATGAAGTGCACCAACGACCAGAAGCACCAATCGTCCGCCGAGACCCGAGCGTCAAAATCACCGGCGACGATTCTGCATTACGAACTCGAACCAGAAATTATCAATGCGTGGGAACTAATGGATGGCCTCGATGATATCACTCCCCTGCGACCATCGTTCGCCTCAAATTCCTTTCAAGATAGCGAGAGGTGTTCGCCAGCGCAGGTTGCCACTGAAGATTACATAGAATTTGACCTAGATATCATTTCCAATTTCCGAAAGGCCATGAAGGAGCGCTCCCTTGAAGAAGCTCTGAAATTCGCCGGAATTCTTGATGCCGAGCAGTCAAACATGTCGCCTTTGAAGAAATGCCCGCCGGGTGGAGAAAGGAAGGTCGTGCTGTACTTAACAAGCCTGAGAGGAGTGCGAAAGACCTTTGAAGACTGCTGTAATGTAAAGGCTATCATCCAAGGCTACGGCTTTCGGATCGATGAAAGGGATGTTTCGATGCATGGTGGATTCAAGGATGAGTTGCATGAGATTCTTGGTCCTGGGTGCTGCGGAAGTAAGCTTCCGAGGGTTTTTGCCAATGGGAAATGCCTAGGCGGAGCAGAGGAGGTGCGGAAAATGCATGAGGCGGGTGAATTGGAAAAAGCTTTGAGGGATTGTGAGGTGGTGGAGATGAAGGATAGGTGGAGTGTGGAGGCCTGTGAAGGCTGCGGCGATGTTAGGTTTGTGCCATGCGAGACCTGCTCAGGAAGCTGCAAGGTGTTTGTGGAGGAGGACGAAGAGGGAGGTGAGGAGATCAGAGGATTCAGGAGATGTTGGGAATGTAATGAGAATGGATTAGTTCGATGCCCTCTTTGTTGCTACTGATCAAGTGATGAGAATTGCTCGAGTACTGAACGATAAAACAGAGAAACAGTTTTTGCAGGTTTTTCTTTAAACTATATTTACTCTGTCAATGTTTTTGTTCTGTTTATAATAAAGCTTTGCTTCATTTTATTGAGAGTAAGGATTTGCAAACTCGATTAATAAAGCTGAGTCGTTAAACTGAAACATTTTTCAGTTGTAAGGTGTTTTCTAGACTAATTTGTGGCAGAGATGTATTTTTGCTTTTAATTTTGGAAGTTTATGCGCATATGTATGCAACTAATAAAAAACGTTGAGATTTTGCCAAGCAGAACCTAGAGCTTTTTTTTTTTTTTGGTTATCTATAATGTTAATAGTTTTGATACATCTTCTAAAAATTCACTGATCTCCACAAATTTTGAGGCAATATTTGAATTAGAAATTTTTGAAATTAAATTTATGATCATTTGAATTCTGATTTCAACAAATTTATAGACAAACAAAAACTCTCAACAATACAAATTCAATGACATCAAGAATGATATGAACTAAGTTCAAATGAATCCAGTCATGAACTTAAATCTTATTTGGAAGTTTTAGGATAATTGAAGAGCCAGAGAGTTCATCAAATAGTGCAACTCAACAAACTGAATCCAATAAGCCTTAGGTCATACAATTATGAGGTCATTAAGGAACTCAAATATTAAGTAAATGATATATATGATCAAGAGGGTCAATATAGATTATTCGATATATTGTTGTGTATTCTGACTAAATTTAATAAAATACTTCTCTCAAAAAGCTATGAATATGATTCAATTCTCTATACATGATAGGCTTTGAGCTAAAAAAACATAAGAACGTGATTGTATTTCTTCATAATCGCTACAAAAGATGACCATCGGCAATGGTTGCCAATATTTTCATTAAGTTGGTCAACAAAGAGCACAATCACAGTATGATTAAGTTCTTCCACCATAAATCAACAATAGTTTGGGATTGATTCATTTGATGCTGCTCAGGCATAATCCTTCATCAATTATGGAGGACTTAAATTAGCATTGACTATCGATGTCCCTTATATTGGCATTTAAGTTACATGCAATTAATCCATTCCAATGGCATTTAAGTTACATACAATTAATCCATATAATGAGACTTCAAAAGATCATTTAGTGCCCATCAAAAGATCATCAAAGTTCCCTCTTATCTGATTTAGATTAGTCAAAATGTACGAGAGACCCTTAAAACATACATTTAAAGATTCTCTTATGAATTACGTTAAATTTTTGGCTCGGAGATATGATAAAATGCTTTTTTTAAAGTCATTATTATTGACCTTTGCTTTTTCCTTTAATACGAAAGACAGATGATTCTTATTCTAATCATATTCATCAAGTAGAAGCGCAAATAACTATTGCCATGGCCATCAACTCCCTCTAAAAATGTTATAAATAGGTTTCATATTCTTCACGTGATATATTTGAAAATTCAAAAAGAGCTTAAAAACTCTATTATTTTTCCCGGTGATTGTTATCGACAACCAACATCAGTAATTGCAGCACCATCACCCAACTTACATCATATTACAAGTAACATTCAACTTCATTATTGAATTTCAATTATCTGAATGTGGACACCCAACCTTTATAATCTCTTCAACTAGAATTAAACAGATTGTTTCCAACTGTGTATAATCTCATATGCTTTAGTTATCAAGAAGGAGCAATTCTTGCATCTTTGCTCTTCTCCTTTTCGAGTTAATCATGAAAAACTAAAAATATGGGCAATTTATATCATGCATGCTAGATCTTTGTACATAGCTAAGATAATAAACACACAATCTCTACCACCACAATTTTTTTAGCGCATAATAAATCTAAAATTAAATAGCATTTCATGGAAAAAGGTTACATAATCATTTAGTATTAATTATTTGGATAAGTATATTCAATAGGTGCATAAAAAACATATAATACATACTTGATGTCTATCTTTTTGTGAATAAAAAAAATCTATAGTATATGTGATGTAGTTATCTAGTTAAATTGGTTGTAAATTTCTTTCCCAAACTTAAACAAAGTTGTGCACAAAAAGTCATAGCAACGATTTAACAATAATTTTTGTTAAGATTATGACCTAAAGAAAAATTGATGATCTCGAGTGCCGTGATTGACGATACAAATGTTTAAATTCAACTTTTCGTCCAAATCATTAAATATTATGTTTTACTTAGATTTATTGGGGACAACTTTTTTAATGCTTCTTAAAGTTGCTTTTTAAAATAAAAATTTTAAATTTTATAGTAAAAAACTGCTTTAGAAAGCAACAAGAAAGCTATCGCAAACGAAGCCTTAGATTTTATTTGATAGAACTTTTTTATTATTTTAAAGCAGTTTTTTAATTTAAAAATTATACTAAAAAATAGTAAGAAAGCTGTTCCAAATGAAGCTTTAGGCTTTGTTTGGGGCAACTTTTTTGTTGCTTCTTAAAACAGTTTTTTAGTATAAAAATTTTAATTTTTATATTAAAAAGCTAATTTAAGAAGCAACAAAAAAACCATTTCAAGCGAAACCTTAGTCAAATATAACTTTCAAATTGTTTGTCACTTGAGGTACTATAGAAGACTTGAGTGATTAAAAAGAGCAATAAATAAATTTGATGTGCATGCCGCTTTCTAAAAACTGATTAATTAAATTATTAAAAAAATCAAATAGTTTTATATGTAAATATTTTTAAAGATTGGGGCATTGGTCTAAGGCTTAATGTCTAGCTTTTGTGAAAATAATGGTGTGGGGTTGTTTTGTACACATGTTATAGACTCAAGTGCTAGAATTTTAAAGTTATTACATTCTAGAAAATTTATGGCAATAGGCTATGTATTTAATATTTTAAATCTATACAAAAATTCAGCACATATAAATAAAAATTATAAGATTCAACCATTTCTTACGCGGAAAATCCAAAATAAAGATAATAGGGTTGATCTAGTTGAATTAATTTCACTAAATAATAAATGATAAAATATTTTTTCCTTCGTTATAATTGAAGAAGATAGGATTATACATGGTTGAGAATAAGTTTAGATTCTCATGATAGGGATTATACAAGTATTATGTGATTATGTCTATAGGTGAGCAGTTGAAGTCTAGTAACTAAATCTATGTTGGTAGTTAGGTGATAGTAGTTATATGATTGAATTCAAGCAATGGCGATAACGATTTTTGATAAATTTAGTCAAAATTCAAAACAACTCAGAACGGTTATCACCACAATATTTGGGTGTCTTAATGAAGTTAGAATCGAGTGACCATGGGCTCGTTAGATTCATCTTCCAAACTACTCAATTTGATTGTAAAGCACGTAAAATTTGGAGACCCGTTAGTCATTCAATTAATATTTAAAAGTTGCCAAATACATTTCAGGCATTTTATTTGAGTTGACTCATATCTAATCATTTGTGGTATCAATATATTCTTTATGTAGAGATATTCAATTGGACTATAAATTTGTTGAAATCAAAATTCATATAAATCAAATGAATTTTCTAATCACTTTTCAAAAAGTTAATTACAAAAAAATCCGAATAAATTCTTGTCTGATCTCTTAATTGTAATTACTAAGCTTTGCCTTTTGTCTTACAAAGTGCTTTTCAATGTTTTAATGTTTTCTTTGTTAATTCTTTTAAACCTTAATATTACGAAAATAAAATAAATTTCTTGAAATCTTTAGCCGCGAATATGAAAACTAGAAAACCGGTCATTTAACATTCACTCACACAATAAGAATCGCAACATATATGTACTGCAATTCAATTCTATTCTAAGGATGACAAAACATAAAGGAAGAAACACTTGGGCTTTATTTGGGAATGCTTTTTACGGTTTCTTAAAGCAGAGATTTTCAGTACCAAAATTTAATTTTTATACTAAAAAGTTACTATAAGAAGCAGCTAGAAAGGCGTATCAATCGAAGCCTTAGTCGGAACTTTTAAGTGCCTTATCCTATTGTTAGAATTTTTTACTCGTTGTCCTCTTTGACCATCTCAAACCGAATGTCTTTCTCCCGTTTGCATCTCTCACGAGCTCCACCCCAACGACAAATAGAAATATATTTTTGTATTTTATCTCAGCTGGGAATAGTAGGACCCAATATTGACATCGCACTATTCACCCAAATAAAAACCAAACACCATTCCCCCTATTGTCGCTCTCCTTATATGAGAAAGAATATTCCCAAAATATTTTTTGAGTGTTATAAATGGAGTTCAATTAGAGATGAATTACTATTTTATATAATTGTTATTCTATTTTGAAGTGGAGAATAGCTTTTTCGGCTGGAGATACTCTTATCCTGGAACTTTTATTTGGTCCGGTGAACGTACGTAGAGGAACGTCCGATCGGGACTAAAATCCTGCCAAAAAACTCGATATTTGCTCTGTATTGCTAGGTATTATTTGGTAATAACGAGGAATACCATCATGTGAAGATCCAATACCGAGTTATACAGAGCTATACCGAGCAATACAGAGTTGTACAAAAAAATACCGAGTTGTCACAACTCGGTATTGCTCGGTATAGAAACTTTGTATTGGGTCTTCACATGATGATATTCCTCGTTATTGTTTGGTATTGCTCGGTATTTCTCGTTTTTTGGCGTGATTTTAGGTCCGATCGGGACGTAGCTCTACGTCCGGTCGGAGGACGTAATAATTGTTCCTTATCCTTGCACACTAGAAATTACACATTTTGAAAGTTCCTCAAACGATTATCATCCCACAGCACAAAATATTGTGGTAATGCATTTGAATCATCAAATGTACTCTACTATTTTTTAAATTATTTTTATTCCAAAATAAAAAATAAATTTTTATTGTCAAAGTAATTACTTATTTTTAATTTATGCATATCTAGTAAATTATTGAGATAAAATCCTAACAGATCTCTCAACTACCTTACCAAAGTGATAAAAAAATTAGATATCGCTTACGACTCAAGTTGTTCAAGTCGAAAAGTTTAAGGTCCTTAAGCCACAGAGGGGCGGGCATCACGCAATCTCAATAATGCCAAACTGTAGCTGAACTTGAAAGTCTACACGAGATTTTTGAAGCATATTTATGCGCATCAAGATGAATTTTTATACCTTTAAAGTGGATGTAACCTCACTCTAAATGTTATAATGATATAACATGATAATGATTTTTTTTTTGAATTTTTGCTTCCTTAAATCACATTCATACTTTTTTATTACTTTTAAAATATTTTTTTCTTACAAAAATTTCTTGAATTACAATTTTTATATTAAAAAGTCATTTTAAA